CGTTCAAAAAGTTTTCGTACTTCCTGCGTGAAGTCATGCCAAAGAAGCACATTGTAGGGCGATGGTGGCCAAGTGGTTAGGTCACCAAATTGTGACCCAAAAATCCCGGGTTCAAACCGATCTACCGCCGCCCGGTTTCCCTATTTCTGTATTTCCCCTAGCAGCTCTTGTATAGCCACAGCCCTAGTTCTTGAAAGTTGACTGTACATTTGCATATTCAATAAACAAAGAAGGAAGTAAACGGACATTCATTACATTTTTATACCTGAAATGCTTAGCATGAATTTGAAAATGGGAAGGATTGTGACAAAATAACATTTTTGTGGTAAGCAACTTTACTGTTGTTCGACGTATCACCACACTTATGATGGTGGGCCGTTATGTGGTTTGCCAATGAAAGTTTCCATGAGTGAACAACAGATCCTCGACTGCTATTCATCATACAAGGGTATGTGATAAAAAAATATAAAAATCACATCTTGAGAGACATCACTAGTATGAATTTGAGAATGGACGATGAAACGCGGAGGTAAGAATTACCAGGTAACAACCAGTATGTGGGTTGCTTATCCCTAACGGATAGCTCCGATGAACGTCCCGGCTGATTTTATATTTTAAGAGTAGAGGCGTTTTTTTCCCGAATGTGTATAAAACAAATAGCAAGCTTAAAATAGAAAGACTAACACAGATGTACCAGAAGTGGGGAGTCTATAATCAGAAGGCTTTAGAATAGATCTAGGCCAGTAATGATATGGGAAAAACAACGCAGATGAAACTGTGAGCACGTTTTCACATTAAAAATATGGTTATGCCATGGAAAAATCTAGTTGTAAACAAATGTTTTGTTGCTCAACCCCGGATATCACTAATAAATGAAGAACAAGTTGTTATCATTGTCTTCGCGTACTATGATTTATCTGATCAGCTGGTTAATACTTTCAGTGTCGTCTATACGAATGATCAATACTACGAAGAAAAGCGTAAATAATTGATTAGATCTCACCCATCGATCGTTCACCAACCAACTGATTATCTACAATGTAACACGACCTCATTAGTGCCATTCATTTCTGGTGGAGCGCGTGCCATATCTGGGATCAACACATCCGTCCATGAATGAGGAATTCCCGGAGGGATGTAAAGAAGTTGAACGACAATCCCAAGCGGCTGTAGAATCATCCCACATAGAGTGGCAAATTAGGATGAGATGAGGTATTATGGCTACTCTTCTTTCGACTTGGGCGTTTACTCTTCATCAGCAACCGGGTGGTTTGCCGGTTCACACGAGAATGAAGCTATTGAACAAATACTATGCTGCGTTAGTCCTGCATACATTCACGCGAGCCTGTTGTCTAGATCTAAGCGCAAGCACCATAAATCAGCAGATGGACGATGTACATAGAGTGATTGGCTCAGGCGTATGCACAACCAAAAGTGGATGTGATAAAAGAATCCATTGGCCATAGATGAGTGACTTCTGGAAGTCGTTTGGTAGCATCTGATGGTCGTTTAGTCGGCCGTAGCTATCGTTTATTATCATTTGTAGTGGTCACTGTTTGTACTTTAGCACCCACAGTCTATGAGAAAATAAACACATCTTTCCGACACACTCTTCAAACAGAAGGTCACAACCCGTCTGAAGTTTTGGCACAGTCACGTAACTCGGAAGTCTATAATTAGGCATGTGAACGTATCCCACCAGAACAGGAAGGAAAATAGGGGGAATGTTTCAGGTTTTATTGGGAAAATATCACTTCGCTGTTTAAAAATATAGGTTCAGAGATCCGAGAAGTTTCTGAAGGTTCATGGAAAGTAAAATAGTTCCCGTAGCGCTATAATGGAAACCGAGATTTTGAACATATTTCTTCAGCACTAGTCAATTAAAGTGTCCACGGATAAACGGAGTTTGATTGCCAATACTCCGGTAAATTGATGCGCCGATATTGTAATACTGATAGTTGGGTGTATTATCGAATATCTCTAAACTTCTACTTTATTTTTCTAATTGAACTGAGGATACCTTAAGCGTTCAAACAGTGAGAAAACGTTTACCGACAAATAAGGTTCCGATTCAGAGCATCTCGGACGACTGAAATATCTAAGATCACCTGTTCTGAAATTTCGTGCAGATTAAGGAACTAGTTATTGGTCTGATTTCACCCGCGGCGTGTATCGCGTTTGCTGTGAAAATTTTCCCTTGTGTTCCTTCTTATTAGAGCCGGGCTTTATCAGGTGACTACGCCTAGGCTGCTAGTCACGTAACTGGGTCAAAATTTCAGACGCACTCTGACCTTGTGTGTTAAGGGGTGTCGCAAAGGTGTTAATTCTCTCCTAGGCTGTAAGGGCTAATGAACAGATAATTACAACTAAACGATTATCCCTCAATAATAAACGGACAATATGTTAACCACCAAACGAACACCAGAGACCACCAAGCGAAAGGAACAACCAGGTAATAATGTAGAAACTGTAAAAAGAGACCCAACATGACAGATATCCCAGAGTCAATTGGTCAGGTAAATTTCACGCTGTTCCTTCGTGAACACTGTAACATGTATATATATTGGAAATCTAGAGAAAAATAAGTATCGCATATGATAGACTGGATTGGAGTGACCGTAACTGTCAGAAAGATCGCGGGGAAAGATTAAGAACACTGGGGAGTCAATGATTATGGTCGATTGTATCAAATGCTGATGTGACGGGGAATCGTCAACTTAACATTGTTACGTGTTTACTCGTTCGGACGACCGTTCTAACTGTTTTATGGCACCGTTACGAGTTTACCTTTGTCTGTGGGTCTTTCAATTTCACAGATCATATTGCATAATTCATTGTTGTTAAACCGTTAGTGTGAATGAACATAACCAGCCAATCATGAGTACAAAATTTAACTTCATGTGTACCATTATTCTCGAATATCATGTTGAGCCTTAGAGTACCACCAGTGAAGCAAGCGGAGTGGATAAAATTGAGCTTTTTTAAGCTATAAGCAATAAAATGAAATTAAATAGGCATAGATTGTGGCAGACGGACTTGTCGTCTGTTACGCTTAGTTTTTGCAAAACCAATTTCTGATGAATACAGTAAAACTTGGTCACAATTGTGCTGCTTGATCTGGTCTTGGTCTCTATTGAATCTAATAGCACTCAAAAATACAAATAAGAGGAACTGCAAATGGGATGATTTTGAATCTTGAAGGTAACAAAATCTCGTGCCAGTCACCCCAATCAGCCTCAAAAATGTCGCAGCAGTTTCCCTTTTGTCGAGCTCGTAACCATGCACAGTTGGATTGATACCAAAGAGCACACGAAGGGAAGGAACATATGGTCGAAGACCCATGGATGTTTCCCATCGCTGGCCACTATTCAATAGCGTCTACCTAGTTAGTGACCTTGACCGAAAAATGACTGACTGCGAGGCCAGAACGTACAAATGCACAAACATACACATAAATACGTACACAATATGAGTGATCAGAGCTTAAGGGTTTTGGACAAAGAAGATGTACGCTAGGAACGGTCCATTTTCTGGAACGGACAGAATCCACGCTGTCACACCAAATGGCCACTAGATTCCACCATTATAATACGCGTCCTAATTCGAATGGCCTAAATGTGACTCACATGTAAACTTGGGCATTAAAGTTGGGGCCTTAAATGAATGCGATCAGGAAGGCTACACTATTAAACAAAGTCTTTAGTTCGGACATTATTGTTCTCGTGCATCGTCTGAACAATGAATGCTTGTTTGGGTTGTTACCACAATGGTGCTACACCGTAGGTAGAAACAAGTATGTATTTAACTGCTGGGTGGTGTGTTCTGTTCGATGATTTAGATCGCGCTAACAGTGGGAGTAGACGTAATCAAGTGAAAATAAATTGTGTGAAGCACAATGCAAGTCAACCAGATCCAGAAACCATCGAGAAAAGCGGTGACCTCGGAGCTAACGGATACACTGGGTTGGCGCCACAGTTTTACGATGTGTCTGACAGGCACGTTACGGATTTCAGTTTATGCAACCTATTAATCTCGTACTTCCGTGCTATGGAGTTGGTAAGTGACTTCTCTCTTGATCTACTAGCCAAAGAAAGATTTAAGGTAACTAAGCAGACTAGGATGATGATACTGAGATGAAGATACGGGATAGTCGGACAGCGGGTTATTGAAAAGATTGCGAGAACACACTGAAACCAACACCTCGTGGGACACTAGGTTGTTTTCAGTTACCCGTTAGCATTCAAATATCCAACAATAAATATAGTGTGATAACTGAGCTTATGGTCTGCAGTGCCAATGACGTAA